TTTTATTATATTAGGATGACTTGAAGCTTATGAAATCACTGTTCAAAACCCACGTCATCACTCTTGCTCTTTGATGAACTCGCCAGTATCTTGAAGCTTGTGAAATCACTGTTCACAACCCACTTCATCACTCTTGCCCTTTGATGAACTCGCCAGTATCTTGAAGCTTGTGAAATCACTGTTCACAACCCACTTCATCACCTTTACCATTTGATGAACTCGACAGTATCTAACGCTAATGGCTTTGATGTACTTTATTTATCAGCGAGTCTTAGTAATGTTTTACTTTTAAAAGTGTTTATCAAATTTTTAGCAAGAACAAAATATATATGTATACTTTTTTTTTTTCAAAGACCTCTTATGTGCTGTTATTTCCCTTTATCCTGTTATGAAGAAGCACTACTATTGTTTTTATTGTCTTGCCCTTTTAGGAGTTTGTGGGTTACTCTATGCCGACATTTAACATTTGGCTAGTTCTAATGTTGACAAGAAAATGATTATTTATGAACACAACATAGAAAAAGTTTCATGGCTTTCACAAATCGCAGTTGATTGATCCAAATACCCTACTAACGTGTTTGTATTTAGGCTATAAGGTATCTGCTGTCAATTCCAGAAATAAGAGAATTAGGAAAGACGGAGAACGAAGATGGCCTTACGGCTGTGGATATCCTGGAACGTAGTCCAAAAGACTGGAAAATCAAACAAATAGAACTCATGATGACAAAGGACGACACGGGAGAATCTGAAACATCGATGTTGAAGCGTATTAGAATGATTTTAAAATGGATGCGAAAGCAGTTGAAGGGTGGGGTTGATACTAGTTGGATAGAAGAAGTGAGGGGGAATCTGAGTGCGGCATCTATTTTTATGGCATCTGTAACCTTTCAAGCCTTAATTAATCCACCGGGAAGCTTTATTCAACAAGACTTACCAAAGCAAGAAGTTGCCCCCCCACCATCTGGGCCCCTCAACTGCGTGAAAACCGTTGATGATAAAGAGCTTTGTCCCGGAGAAGCAGTCTCATCCTTTAATGAACGAAAAGCATTTCTGTCGTATGCAGCTTGTATTACTATCTCTTTCTATGCATCACTTTCTGTCACCCTCCTGCTTGTAAGTGGAGTTCCTTTGCAGAATAGTGCCGCCATATGGATTCTAGCTATAGGCATGTCTCTCTCTGTCCTCAGTCTTGCAGTTGCATACAACTTTGCCGTCTACATCTTGGTCGACTCTGCTGGTTATTTAGGGTTCGTGGCCTTGTGTGCATTTGTTCTCTGGACTTGTGGATTTGTTCTACCACTTGTGTTGTTTAACACAATGCGCTTTCTCATCTGGATTGCCAATAAGATTGCCAACAAATGTCGTAATACGACTAACAGGAAGCGAACAAGTCGCTTCTGCTGCTCTGTATCTGCCAATTAATGCCTCTTGTTGTCGGCAAGAGACAAACAATGGTATCCTGCATGAGTTGTTTTCAGGATTAAGAGCATTGTTATTTTGTTATTTTAGTGGTTTTTGTTTTGCTGCCAACTTATGTTAGTGTATGTGTTGTGTTTATATGTGTGTGTTTGTTCCTGGTGTGTTGTTGCATGGGATAATAAAATTATTACTGAAGAAGATAGTTTAGTGTCCAGTTCTTTTTATCTCTTATTTCAACACCTGTTTCAGCGGGACTTTTTTAATCTATTTTTAGTGCCTATATTCATTTTGTTTATATTTCCAACGCTTGAGAATCTTTAATTATTGTGAATGAACATTTAGCAATATGTTTACTTCAGAAGAATGACTAAAATGTTTTCAACTAACTCAAGCAAATTAAGAAAATTTTGTTACATTTTTAAACTTTGCCAAAAAAGAGCCAAAGATTCCATTTTTACGTACCTTAAATATTAATTAAGAGTATGTAAACTTCATTAAATGTAAAGACAATAAACCCAACCAGTTAAAACATGACTTCAAAATAATTTGAGGCTAACATGAGATAAATCGGGGATAAAAAAGACAAACCATTAAAGTAAATATTACATGACACCGTATATTACCGACCAAGAAAATGTTTTAGAAGATTCCTTATGTATCTTATTGGAGTGAATATTAGTATGCAATATCATAATCAATTAAGTAGCATTTACCACGTATACATTAACCTCCAACTTGAATGATTGCCTTCATCTAACTAATTAACGGTTCAAAATTAATCAGAAACTGAGTCTCCTTAGCTGCAAGTTACGAAGGAATAAAGCGAAGGAAATTGCAGGTACAAAGGAAATAAAACAAATAGCTCACAACAGTGAAACTTTTAATTTTAGCTTAAAACAGAAAGGAAAAATCGCAAATAAAAACCCTTAAATGTATGAAATTGTAAATGGGTTCCTGAATAAACATAATTGTCTGGAGAGACTGGGCCTATCAATTCCATAATTTAACATTTTATTACATATTTGGAAGTTATGATGCAGACGAACCGTTAATTGAAGCCCATAAATTAAAATTTTCATTTTACTTTTGGGCTACTACATTTGGTACTTCTAAGTTTTCTGTTTAAATTTAAAAACTCATAACTAATTATAAAAAATTTATATGAGCGTGTTTTAAAATTCTTTTGAAACCTCTACAAATCCTTTATATGAAAAAGAAATATCATTCGAGCCTGATCCTACGCATATTGACATAGTTTATTGTATTTCCTAACTTTCCTTGAGTTTTGAGTTGTGCATGAGAAGGGCCCTTGTGAATTTAACATAACCTAACAATGCTGATACGTGTAAGGGAGTTTCAGTGAAGGCAGTTGTTGAAATCTTGAACAGGATTAACGGGTTTTGCTGCATCAATGAGTTCAAAATGGACACGTCCCCTCTAAGTGATGCCTCGTAAAGATCTCTCATTTTGTCACTATCACATGAGTTCTCATTTCTCTTGCGTGCATGGCTTCATATATGATTCGTTTATATAAGCTTCTTACACACACACACACACACACAGAGGCTTACAACAGCTTGGAACGTGCAATGTGACCAGCGAAAGCGAAAGTCAAGATATATATATATATATATATATGTATATATATAGCTAAAGTATTTTGCCAGGACGTTAGCCGGCTGGTTTCCTTCATCCATGTCTGGCCCATATATATATGGGCTGGCCCATATATAGTTCAAGTGTGAATTAATTGGTAATAAGTGAAGTTTGTCCTTCGTCGCAACTACTCCAATTGTAAATAGCTAGCGCCAATAACTCAAGTTATAAGAATGCAAAGTTTTGCTGAAAAATAAATTTAGGTACTTATGATTATTATGTGAATTTCAACCCATTAAAACAAAAATTACAACACTCTAATATGCTTTAAGATAAAAAAAACAAATTTCATGGTTACAGCTTGATATAATTAGAACAAGCAATCCGGCTCAGGCTACAAGACATACTATTGGGTAACGAAAGGATGGGATTTCTTCTCCAGGACAAAACATTTGATGATGAGATCGATAAACCTTATTGAATGAAGCAATCGAGTGGATTAATCGAAGCTTGAAAGGTTATAGTTGATAGAACAGTTGGTCACCAGACTTAGATTTCCTCTCATATTTTATACCCATTAATCATCCATCTATTTAAACCAAATTCCTATTTATTTTAAAATCTTTATGAAACAATTTCTCTTCCAACATTGGTACTTTGTTTCCGGTAGTTGGCGTGGATGGGTTTTAACAATTCTCCTTTCTTCCCTATTTTGATGCCAAACGTTCTTAAACGTGACTTCTGTACACAAACACATGTTAATTTCACAGAAAACTTTAATTAATCAGTAGATTGAGATGACGATAATTTTAAATTATCTAACAAAGTACTAACTTAAAACGGACCTGAAATAAGAGAAACATATAATCATAATATAACATGAATTAATATCCTAAAAGCAGCCCATGCCACTTGTGACCGGCCGGACAATAAACAGCATTAGTTGAAATGTGATATATAAAGAAACAGCATCAACTTTCTCTAATTCCACACGTCAATAGCTTTCTGATTAGTCTGGCACATTTCTTCACCACCCAAATTATAAAGCGCAGTGTGATTAACACTACAATCAGCACAAGCAATCCAGACCAGGCGCAAATTGAGGCTGCAACGGTGGTCCAACCTGCTTTATTCCAAAGCAGATGGTTTGGCATCACCAGACAAAGAGCAGTTAAGTAGGCAAGGGCTAGGGTTGTGAGAGTGATACACATGCCTATGGATAAAAGCCATATCAAAGCTTTGTTCTTCATAGGAACTCCACTCACAAGCAAGAGGGTGACGCTAAGTGATGAAATGAAGGAGATAGTGTTGTAAATTACTTATCGAAGAAACAGACTTTGGGAACGAAAAGATGAGACCGCTTCCCCAGGGCAATAGGACTTGTTGTTAGAAAGGATAGTGCAGTTTAGGGCTTCAATATTGGATGAGCTTTGAGATAAACCTTGTTGGATGAAGCCCCCAGGTGGGTTAACTAATGATTGAAATGTCATGGTGGCTATAACGGTAGACACTAAACTCAGATTTCCCCTCATTTCTTCTGCCCAGTCACCCTTGTGTTTGAACCAACCTCCAATCCATTTCAAAATCTTTATGAAGCAGTTTCTCTTCTTCTTTCGAGTTTGAGGTTTTGGTCTTGCAACTGGTGGTGATGAGTGTGAATGCGTGTGGATCCCGTTCTTCTCAGCTCTAATTCAGAATAGTCCGTAAGCATGACTTGTATTTCTAGGGTTTTGAAATCTTTTGGATTACGTTTGAGGATGTCATAGGCTGTAAGACCCATATCGTTCTTCAAGCTTGCCATTTCTATTACATATGGGATTGATAGGAGGTACCTTATAGTCTGAAATATTAAACTTGCATGTTAGTATATTATGGGAAGTGTCACATATGAGTTTGGGGTTAAAAAAAAAAAAATTAAACCCAACAATTCACGAAAAATATAACCCGTTCATGTGAAAAGAAAACTCTTTATATCAGGGAGGATATCACACCTCAACTTGCTTGGACCCGACAGCTAAATGGAAAACGGTGTTGCCCACTTCATCAGAAATCGCGAAGTTAAGAAGCTTCCCAGAAATGGCAACTTCCAATTCCACCAAACACTTGAGAGTCTCCAAATGATGGTGTATCACACACAAGTGAAAAACAGTGTTTCCATTATCAAGAAAGCTCAGAGACTCAGGCTTCGCGTTCACCAACTCTTTCACAACGTCTAATCTCCCTCTCATAACTGCATAATGCAAAGGAATTTTGCCCTCTTCATTAGGAAACGAGCATGGCTTGTCATTAACTTTAAGAAGTTCCTTCACGATTTCGGTATGACCTTCTGCAGAAGCCAAGTGGACGGGTGTGTTCTGGGAAGAGTCAACCTCAATGGGTAGTCTGGGTTTGTATGTGACAAGTGCCTTGGTAAATTCCAGGTGGCCAAGCAAGGCTGATATGTGTAAAGGAGTTTCGGTGAAGCCATTTGTGAGATCTTGTGGAGGATTAATGGTTCTTTTGGTAAAAGTGAGTTCAAAGTTGATACAGATCCTTTGCGTGATGCTTCATAAAGAACGCTCAATCTGTCCTCTTCACCATGGGAAGTCCCCATTTTGATTATTATAGCCTCTCTTGTGTGAATAAGAAAGTTGTATGTATTCTTCATTATATATACACATCATTTTGAAAGAATCTGTCAAAAGTGTGTTGCTTATGATTACTTAATGTTCAAGTTTCTGTCGAATTATGTGAAACCAACGTCCACAACTCAATCTGTGAAAGCAACATCACACGATATGAACAATACTTTATCGACAATCCTATTTGAATATATCGTTTTCCAAATTTTCACCTGCAAATGTTATCATTACACTAATAATATTCTCGTCACCCAACTAACCGTTTACTCCAAATCACACCTGGGGCAGTATTTCTTTACGCCGATTTTGACTAATCCAACCTTTGTTTTTTTTTTTTACCAAACAGAAAAAGAAAAAGAAAAAATTGGTAGAAGGGGGAAAACATATTAAAAGTGGTGAAGTTTTTCACTTATTATTACGTCATACATACACGTATTGATATAAATTAGTACATAGGTTTTTAAATGGCTAGATTTTGATTATTTTCATGCTTATACTAATAATATTAATTAATAATCGTCCTCAGAACCGGTAGCGTGATTGGTTGCACTCCTCGAATGGGATTATTTTCTGCTTCGGCACATACTATGTGAAGATGCTATAGCATATTTTAATTAGTCTTAACGATTTAAAAATGATATTTTCTGATGCTTCCAATGCGCTATGGAAGAATGCCTTGGAGAAAAAAGCAGGCGGCAAATCGGTTAGGAGAAAGGTTAGGATCGATAAGCCTAATGTGGAAGGTTGAAAATCTCATTTTGCCAGAAAGTAGTCAGCCGGCTGGTCTCCTCAAATATAAATTGGCTAGCGCCTGCAACTTCCAGTTATAATTGATATGACAACAAGAGTCATCCTTTTGTTTATTTGTTTGTTTGCTTCCACAAAGTGTTCGATTCCCACAAACACTGATGATGCCACCAAATATTAAGAGACATCGCAAGTATACAGGTCGTAAAAATAGACACTCACAAATTAAGGTCAATCTCACGAAGAACTCAATTAATATTAATTAAGCAATGAAAATTCTTATTTCGTTTAAGTTGAAAAAATCAAGATTTAATAAAATCAAATAAAAAGAAATTAAAATAAACGAAACAAAATTTTCTCAAATTAACTAGACAAATATTAAAAAGAACAACTTAGAATTACCAATCCCTTACTAGCTTGTTGAACCTTAATTCACTGAATTGATTAGTTTTAATATCAATTTTGTTAATCTAGAGTTCAATTAGCTACAAGTGTCTGTCGGTTCACTTATAACCTTTTCTTAAATTAATTATCTAATGTCTCGCATAATTAACTAAAAAACTAAACAATTCGGTCTCACTCATTAACAATTATATGGGACAATTAGATATATTTATATCCTAATTACAAATTAGATTATCATTCAATCCCTTATTACTTAATCTAAAAGCCCAATTAAAATTTCTTTTGTCAAAGAAAACTTTAATTCTCAAATTTATAATTAATGATGGCCAGTCATCAAATGGATAATAAAGCACAAGACTAAGTAATCAAAGTTTAACATTAAGCATCCTCAATTCAGTAAAATTAAAATCAGTCTGCTAACAAGCTCATAGTTTCTCTAGGCTGTAAAAAAAAATTTAGCTACACATGATATAATCAGTTTCAGCAACAAGATTCAGATCAGACTCCATCAGAATACAAAATAGGAACAAGGGAAGAAAACAGAACACTGCTAATGGTCTCCTCTCCTCACTGCCGTCGCTTGAACTCGTTCTCTCAAGATCATTGCTGTCGCCACTTTCCTGCTTCGAACCAGTCTCGGCGTCTACGATTCAAGGGAGAAAGATGATGAACAGTGTCGATCGACCTTCACCCTAGCTCGGCGCTCCTCTGCTCACAACACGATGATGAAATCTCGGCTCCCCCTCTGGTTCTCACCAGCGTCGACGCCTCTCAGAGGAACCTCACAGCTCCAAGAAACCCCTTTCGGCGGCCCTCCAAGATGATGATCGTGATTTTCCTTTTTTTCCAGTTTCGGCGGCCTCCTCCAGATGATGGACGATAATCCCCTTCAAAACAGAACCCTCGTCAATCCTCCCAACGGTGCGTTCCACTCCTCCCATGTGCCAACGGTGCCGTTTTGTGTCTTGATTCAGCAGCTTCAAAAGCTTCCTCTCTCCGTTTCGGCAATAATAAAAGGGGAGGAGAAGTGAAGATAAAATAAATGGAAAAGAAAAAATTAAAAGAAAATATAATATTAAAAAAAGGAAATAGAATAAAAATTAAAACTGACATAAGATAAGTCTATAGCTACTTTTATTTATTTAAAACCAAGCTATTTACAAGAAAATCCCCCAAATAACGCTCACAATTAATTTCTATTCAAAACTTTTTTAAATCATCCAAAATCCTATTGATAACTCCTCAAAAATCACCTAAAATATTCTTTCAAGATATTCAAAATAATGAGTTATCAACTGAGCAAAATTGTCCCCTAGAATTATCGCCATTTCTGAGAATATATATATGTACACATAAAGAACGGGAGATATGATTTTGAAGGCTACAATTGTTGGATACATGCAAATATATAGAAATAACTTGTTTGCAATTTTGATGTGAAGCAATATATAATGCTGATTATAATGGTAATTTGGACAACGTTGGCCTTCTGCAGAAGCTAAGTGGATTGGCGTGCTTCATGAAGAGTTTCTCAAAAAAATATTTCTAATTATAATTTGAAAATCTATTTTTGGTAACTTCTAAAAATAATCGAATGTGCAGATTGATATTAAGTCCATTTAGATTAACGACAAAAAAGTAGCTTATTTTTAATTAATTGGGTAAAAGTTAGATTGAATAATGTGATTTGTGTATGGATTGATTTTTGTAAATAAGTCAATTTACAAAAGTAGAGTTGTTTGGATTATTAGTAAAAAATAAGTTTAATTATAAAATAACAAAAAAAATATAAATGTTATCAAATAATTTATATATTTTATTCTCTCTCTTATGCTATACTTTCTAGTTACATTTCTTTATATATTTTCTCTTATCTTTTATTTCACTTATTATAAAGGCATGTTTAAAATCAAAAGTACTTTCTTTGGTCCACAATATAAATCACTTCTAGAAGAATAACTTCATCCAAAATATAAGTCACTTGATGAATTAATTAAAATGACTTACATCATGGCCCAAAAAAAATATATTTATAACCCATTTATTACTTTCAATTAATTTTAACTAATTTTTATTATCCGTGAATTAATTATTTGAAGCTTACAACAAGAAAAAGAGAAAATGTGAATTTCTTAAAAATGGGATCCACCTCTTTTTAACTTTGACTCTCTACTTTTCAAAAAGAAAAAGCAAAAATAACTTTTTACTTTTGACTTTAAGTGGCTTTTTACACAAAAAATTAAATTGCCAAATCATGAATCCAGACACTACACATTTTATCCACCACACGTTTAATCAGTCAACTGCATGATGAAGGTGAGGACTGCACATGAGTAGGCTGGGCAAGGTTGGCTCTTTACCCAATGCCTAGTTCGAAAAATAAACGAGTTGAAAAATACAACCCATTATCCAGCCCTGCCTATGAAAGGCCCTAGTAAGTTTAGACTGGGCAAATGCGGACTAGGCTGGGCGGGCTTCCATGCCCAATAAATCAATATATTAGATTAATTAACTAATTATATATTTATATCCCTCTAAATAATCTAAAATAACTTTATATTAAAATGACAACTTGGCCTTAATTTAATTATTATTAATTAATATACCACGAAGCTACATTTGATAATAGCTAAAAGGAGTGGACTGCGACAAAAAAAAATATTGTTAGCATATTTTATTAAACTTACTTGCTTTTCTAGTTTCTAAAATTTCTTAACCAAATATTAATATCTTTTTTTTCATAACTCCAAATACTCGTTACAGGATGGAATCAGTTATATTTAAAAAAAGTTTGTTTTGTTTTAATAAATTTTTAAGGGAAAATTATTTTTTTTAGTCTCTATAGTTTTAACACATTTGTAACTCAGTCATTATATTTTGACTCATTACAACTCAATCCTTGTAGTCTTGACTCGGTTGTAACTCAGTCCTTAAAATTTGACTCGTTGCAACTCGATCCTTATAGTTTTACCCATTTTATAATTTAGTCCCCCCTTTTATTAGATATATAATTTTATTTTTTAAAAATATAATGACTAAATTATAAAATGGGTAAAACTATAGGGATCGAGTTCCAACGAGTCAAATTTTAGGAACTGAGTTACCACCGAGTCAAGACTATAAGGATTGAGTTGTAACAAGTCAAAGTATAATGATTGAATTACAAAAAAAAACTATAGGGACTCAAAGATTAATTTTCTTAATTTTTAAACTATCTTGATCATCTTTTAATTTTAACTAAAGAGACAACAGTTTTAAAGAAAACAAGAAGCAAAATAAATTTCAAAAATAACTCGACCATCCTTTCAATGGCTATCAGAGTTATGTTCAAAATAAATGATATATAATTACTTGTCTACCAATATACAAATTGTCAATGGTCATAATGTTTGCATTAAAAAGAGAATGGTCATATAGATCACAGTAAATAATAATACGTCTAACTCTCAAAATTATTCAAAAATAAATAACTATAATGGAACCTTGAATATTGATGCAATAATGGGTTTGATTCATGAGATAAATGAGGTGAATAATATATATAAATGAAATTATATGTATTTTTGCGGGTAGGGCTAAATGGGCGGGGGCAGCATACTGTGCCCGATGCCTAGCCCAACCCGAACATGTCTAATATTTCTTTCGGGTTATTTTTTTAGGGTGAGTTGAGCTTTTTTTTTGTGGGCTTGGGCGGTCATAACGGACAACCAGGCTCTCTAAACACTCCTAATGAGGCATATAAATGCTTCCACTAGCAGAGCCATTATTATAAAAATTGCTTATGCGAATACTATAAACGCTCCCATTTGCTGGGGCTACAATATTATATCTCATTTTTTGTAATAGTGAAAAAGATGAGAAAGAATATTGATGAAAGTACAAAGATAAATAAAGATACCATTAAATTTAAAAATCATTAATAAAACAATTCTTTAATATTATAAGCAAACAAAGAATAGTTTAAATATTTATTTGGTAAAATCGATAAACTACAAATCAGTTCTTATAAAATTTATAAACAATCTGAAAATCATTTATTTTTTTTGGGAAAAATCGCAATAAAACATCATTAAAATTGGAAGATTGCACACAAGAATCCATTCATAAAAATTATTATCAAAACCATATTAATGTTGTAATGGGTCCCTATTTATAATTTTGTTTATTTCTAAAGTCTTTTTTTTAATGATTTTTTCTACTTTTTCTTTGTTTTTAATAAAAATCAGAAAAAGATTGTATAGAACTACTTACATCTTGTCATTAATTAGGATTAGTTCAGGTGATGAAAACAATAAGGTAAATTGTGGAGGAAAACAGTTAGGTCAAGTTCTTTATATTTATTATTTCAAGGGTTATGTGCCTTTTCTTGTTCATTTTATGTGAATTTACAATTAAATATTATTACATATTAATATTTTAGAAATAGGATACATGATCATATGTGGTTGGAGAACTTGACATATTGAATATAAAAAACTTATTGCAAGTATTATCCAATACAGTGATTAAAGAATTAAACCCTTTTAATGATCTTGATGCAATTGACTGCTGTCATTTAACTATTCCTTAATTTCTCACAAAGCATTTAATTTGAACAGAAAATTTTAAACTAAAATATTTTTATCTGTGATATTATTGTGGCGGAAAATAGAGAGAAACTTACGTGAATACAGTAATAAAATAATGTCTCTGCGATTTAGGGTGGCCGTTTGGTATAATCAAAAAGCACATTTAAAAAGTATTTTTATGTAAATTAAGATAAAATTTATTTTACATACTTACTTCGTTTATTGTAAAATTACTTCTAAATTATAGTTTAGTTTCCACTTAAACGTTCTCTGTCAAAACTTTCAAAAGTTAGTTCAGGTAAATTTGAAAACAAATATATTATTAAAATTTTAAACCTACGATATATAACTTTCACAATGCATGTTTATTATATATTAGGTAAAGACATTCTCAGTAGCCTGATCTTATTTCTTAAGTGTACCGCCCAACTTCTTAATTTTTTTTAATGGTGTAATTTTATACATAATATATTTTTTTTTTTACTTCTAACACTTTAGTTTTATTCATAGTGTATCAAACACCCTAAAATTTAAGGTGTTGAATGTAACTAAAAAATAATATCGGCATGTTAGATTAAAACAAAAAAAAAGCAAGTGACATGTGGCTATTAGGGATCTTATAACTTATAAGCTAGTGACCTGTGAGCTCCTCTTGCATTTGAGAGTTTCTGGGTCCTACCTGTCTGCTCTTTTAGTTAAAAATTAAAAATCCTCCAATTATTCTTCCTAGCATAATCTCTACCGCAAGACGCTGTCGGAATAGATTCACTATTCGCTACTAATAGCAATATGATAGTGTGAGCAAATTTATTTAGAAGCTTTTTTTTAATGAATTTAATGATGTAACCAACTTTCATTTGGATAGAGAGAAAACAGGGAGGAGAGAATGCAGAAAAAGCTTTAAAAAAAAAATAAATCTTATTTTTCTCTGTATCTAAACTAAAAGCTAGCTCCCCCCCCCCACCAAAAAAATATACAAGGTATTGATGATCCATATGAAGAAGCGTTAGTTTATACATATCAATGTATAAATGGTTTATACATCATCATTGAAATGAAACGATGAAGAGGAATTTTCATGAGGAAAAGAAGGTTTCTCATACGCTAAAGTAGGACTGCCTTCAAAATTTGAAGCGTGAGATACAACTTTTATGATGATGAGGATGCATGAGATGAGTAGGGAAGATGAGGAAGACAGAACTGAAAACATCTAAATTAAAACACAAGCCATTCATTGAATATAAATATAATACTTAAGTGCACATATATAAGTGTGTGCGCGTACACAGAGAACATTAACAGTAATCAACCCCTGAAATTAAAAGTTGTACACACCAAAGACGCATGAATTGATTGAGATCATATCAAGCATT